TCACCCATCGCCTGGCGGTGGACCCTTCGGCCAAACCGGTACAGCAGCGGAGAAGACCCCTCTCGGCCGAGAGAAGGGAATTCGTGAAGAAGGAGGTGGCCATGCTCCACTCTATCAAACACATTAAGGAGGTGAAATACCCTTCTTGGTTGGCAAATGTAGTCCTCGCACAGAAGCCCCCTACCTTCCGCATGTGCGTGGACTACACAGATCTGAATAAGGCATGTCCTATGGACCCCTTCCCCCTGCCAAACATTGATCAACTGGTAGATGAGACCGCGGGATGCGAAATCATGTCATTCCTCGACGCATTCCGCGGGTATCATCAAATCTATATGCATGAGGGAGACACTGAAAAAACTGCCTTCATGACACCCGAAGGCATCTTCTGTTATCTCGTGATGGCCTTCGGCCTCAAGAATTCAGGCGCCACCTACACCCGAATGGTGGCCAGGGTCTTTCAAGCTGTCTTGGGGCGCACCATGGAGGCCTACGTTGACGATATGATCGTCAAAAGCAAGTAGGCAAGCACTCACGCCGAGGACCTTCGGGAAATCTTCGCCATCATGCAAAAATTCAATCTCCGGCTAAATCTGAAGAAATGCACCTTCGGCGTACAAGGAGGGAAATTCTTAGGATACATGGTCAGCCGAAGGGGTATTGAGGCCAACCCCGAGAAAATTCAGGCCATCATCAACATGGAGCCTCCACGCAACGTCAAGGAAGTTCAACGGTTGACGGGTCGCCTGGCAGCCCTCAACCGTTTCCTCTCCAAGTCAGCCGAGAGGGCCCTCCCCTTCTTCCAAATCATGAGGAAGACAGCGGGCTTCCAATGGACATCTGAATGCCAGGAAGCCTTTGACGAACTTAAAAGGTACCTCTCTTCCCCCCCGGTACTCTCCAAACCGAAGGTGGGGGAAACCTTGTACTTGTACCTTGGTGTTAGCCCGACGGCCATCAGCTCAGTGCTCATCCGGGAGGAGGATGGCATCCAGCATGCCATCTTCTACGTCAGCAAAACCCTCCGGGAGGCCGAACTCAGGTATTCTCCCGTCGAGAAGACGGTGCTAGCCATCGTTTGGACCGTCAAGAAGCTTGGCCACTACTTTCAAGCTCATCCGGTCCAAGTGCTCACACATCAACCCCTCGGCGCCCTCATGAGGAGCCCCACAAGTTCTTCCCGAATGGTGAAATGGGCCATCTTCCTTAGCCAATACAACATAGACATTCGGCCGAGGCTTGCCGTCAAGGGCCAAGCCCTGGCAGACTTCGTTACGGAATGCACGGTGAGATCAGCAATGGACGAAAAGCCCTCGGCACCTCTTGATGAATGGTGGACACTCTACACCGATGGCTCCTCGGCCGCCAAAGCATGCGGAGGGGGAGTAGTTCTTATCACACCCGAAGGCTTCCGCGCCTATTATGCCATTCGCTTCTCCTTCAAAGTCTCCAACAACGAAGCCGAATACGAAGCCCTCCTCTGTGGCCTTCGGCTGGCAGCCAATCTGAAGGCTAAGATGATCCACGTCAAGTGTGACTCCAAACTCGTCGTGGGTCAAATTTCCGGGGAGTACGAAGCCAAGGAAGGGAGGATGAAACAATACAAGGAGGCTGCCAAGGAATTGCTTAAGGTGTTTGAGGCACACTCTTTGACTCAAATACCGAGGGCTCAAAACTCCGAGGCCGACATCCTATCCAAGCTTTCGGATGAGTCCCCCGAACATCTTTCAAAAATTGCCAGGATTGAAGAACTCAGCCTCTCAAGCATCCACGCGAGCCCCGTCATGAATATTCACCTAAGGCCGGAGGACTGGATCTCCGACATCATCAACTTCATCACCATGGGACAACTCCCCGAGGATGAAGCCCGCGCCAAGTTAGCAAAGCTGAGGGCTCCTAGCTACACCCTCGAGAATGGTAGGCTCTACAAGAGATCCTACAACGGCACCCTCCTTCGGTGCCTTCATTAGGATGAAGCCGAAGTCGCAATGGAGGAAGTACACAGTGGCACTTGCTCAGCTCACCAGGGACCCTTCTCCATGTCCCGAAGGCTCATAGTTCAAGGCTACTTCTGGCCCATGATGGCTAGAGATTGTGCGGATCTAGCCCGAAGGTGCACCGCTTGCCAACACTTCCAGAAGGCCCCCGACAGACCAGCGGTCAACTATGCCCCCATCAGCACCGCTATACCCTTCTCCAGATGGGGTATTGACTTAGTAGGCCCTCTGCCGAGGGGTACCTCCAACAACAGATACATCATCGTTGCCATTGACTACTTCACCAAGTGGGTGGAAGCCGAGCCCCTCGCCAGCATCACTGAGCCCCGGTGCCGCCACTTTGTTCTCAAGAATATCCTCACGAGATTTGGCGTCCCCCAACAGATCATCTCCGACAACGGCACTCAATTTGAGGCAGCCCTCTTCTGTGCCCTCCTTGAGGCATGGGGAATCAAACACACCTTCTCATCCGTTGCCTACCCTCAAGGCAACGGACAAGTAGAGAACGCCAATCGCACCCTACTTGAGGGCCTGAAAAAGAAACTTGAGGCCGAAGGGGGAGGCTGGGTAGAAGAACTCCACAACATCTTATGGGCCTACCGCACCACCCCTCGGCGTGCAACAGGTGAAACACCATTCTCCCTATGCTATGGCTTTGAAGCTAAGGCTCCAACAGAAGTGACCCTTCCTACCCGAAGGGTGGAACAATATGAACCTGAAGTCAACGACGCCAATATGGCCCTCGATCTTCATCTTATCTCAGAACGCCGAGAGCAAGCCTTACTCAGGGCTGAAAACTATAGAAGACAAGTCAAGGGCTACGTCGACGCGAAGGTCCGCTCCCGGGAATTCCAGGTGGGGGACTACGTCCTCCGACGAAGGGAGGCCAGCCTACCCACCGAAGGCGGCAAGATGGCGCCTAAGTTTGAAGGCCCCTACATTGTCTCAGCCATCATCAAGCCGAGAACATACAAGTTAAAGCGTCCTAATGGGACAGAGGTCCCTAGACATTGGAATGTGCACCATCTTGTCAAGTTCTACCAGTAAAACATGAGCGGCCAAGCCCTCATTCTCAACAAATGTAAATGATCTATGGCCCAAGGCCCCATTCACTTTGAAAGAATAACCAAAAAGGCCAAGCCTTCATCACCTACATGTTGCACAAGCGGCCCAAGGCCCCCCTTCTCTCCTAAAATGAGTGGCCAAGCCCTCATCTTCTCACCAAAATAGGCCCAAGGCCCCCTCTCTTCACAAGGAAGAACAAAATACGACTTCACCAATCAAGATACCAAGTACCAAGTGTGCGGGTTACCCCCACCACTATTTAAAAACACCACTTGTTTTTAACTAAGCCGTGCCCCACGAGGACGGCCTCATGCATACATTATGCATATCCCCACAACCTCCTAAAAAAACAAAAGAAAAAACTGGGGGGTACAATACCCCTCGGCCCCGGCTGGCACCAAGTGCCCCCGGCTATTTGTGTTCCACACACAAATAAAATCCTTCCCTGAAACGCTTTCCGCGCCATCCCCCAAGGGGAGGCAGGCAACGGACCATGTCCCGGGCCCAGGATTCGACTTTCACAATCGAAACGCTCCCCGCGCTATCCCCCAAGGGGAAGCAGGCAACAGACCATGTCTCGGGCTGAGGGGACGACTTTCAAAACCGAGGCGCTTTCCGTGCTATCTCCCAAAGGGAAGCAGGCAACAGACGAAGTCTCGGGCCGAGGAAACGACCCTCAAACCCTTCGGGATATCGGAAGGTCATTCCCGAAGGGGGAGCCAACGGTTTACTCCGTTGCCTCCCATATAGGCCAAACCTTTCCTAGAAACCAAGTTTCTAGATGCCTCTCCTACATCATTCAAAAAAAAAATGGAAGGAACTCCCCGGATACTATTCTCCCCAGAGGCTCAAACAACGTTTCGGGGTTATATTCCCGAAGGCTCCCTCAAACATACAAAGGAGTCTCTCAACACAAAGTCCTTCGGCTACTTACCCGAGGGCTCCGCTACATGGAGGATTTCCCCAAATCAAAGTCAACTATGCCTCATGATTGAAGACTACATGCCGAAGGCGGAAGGTTACCAGGCTCATTTAGTAATGAAAAATGAATGGGTCCACGCATTGGCACCCTTCGGAGGACACTCATCAAACCGAAGGCTACTCACAATGTTTATTGGAGACAAATCTCAGAATTTCACCAAGTCCATGAACTTGGGTCCCCTCGGCAACTATACACACCAGGGGCTCAAGCAATTCTCACATTCGAAGGTTCACTACAGCCTCTATTCAAACTTTGTGAAAAAATGACTAAGTCCACAATTGGGAACCCTTTGGGGGCAAACCGGGGGCCGTCTTTAACCGCAGGCTTGCAGCCGATGCCCCCCCCCCCCCCGAATTACTTGGCAAGGACCTAAAGTTGCATTATGACCCGAAGGCTCAACAACTGCTGGTGGCCTAGGATGAAACTAGCTTGGAAAACTTCCTAAGTGTGATTCACTCTAGCCCTCAGTCCTACAACTACAACCCGGAGGCAACCCCAACGGTTCGTTGCCAAAGTCCACAACAATAAGCCCCCGGCGATCCCAATATACAACTGAGGGCTCATGGCTGGGCTTTTTACTTGGAAAATTTTCTAAGTCCACTACTACATACCCTCGGTGAATATACATGGCAGTCGGAGGCTTCTGGTCAATTTTCACTTGGAAAATTTTCTAAATCCACATCAAGGGGTCCACTATAGCAAGGGGCTCAGTAAACTCCTGCGTCCGAAAGGTTCTGATCAAGGTCTTACTTAGAGAATTTTCTAAGTCCACAACCGCGAGCCCCCGGTGATTCTACACTATAACCGAGGGCTGGTTGGTAAGTCTTACTTAGAAAATTCTCTAAGTCCACAAACTTGCGGCTTTCGGGAAAACGAAATGAAAACATACATTCATACGCAAAGGATAAGGGACGAAGGCATTCATTCGACAGATAGCTCGAGGGCATAAACGGCACGAAGGCTCGAAAATTAGAAAAGACATTCATTCATCGAAAAATATTAAAGTACAAAAGGTGTTTTGTTTACAAGACAGATGGCCGGAGCCGAAGGCCTACAACTATTACAAAGGCTAGTACTCAGGAGAATTCTAGGCTTAAGCCTCTTCAGCTGCATCCGTCTTCGGCCTAGAGGCAGCATCATCCTCGGCGTCATCATCGTCTTCATCGTCACACCGGGCTAGCTCCGAGTCCTCAAGCACCGGCCTCTCTTCGCCCGGAGGGAGGGCAACTCTAACGTCCGGCTGCAGAGGGGGAAGGCCATATGGCGCCGGATCGAAATCCTTCGGGTCCACCCCGAAATGGCGAGCCAATCTCCGATAGATCATGGCTTGGGTAAAGTACTGGCCACCATCGTAAAAGCTTTTGCCCTTCAGGGCCAGCCACATGGCGCCAGGGCCTTTGACCCACTCGTCCGCAGAGGCTTCCACCACCGAGGCCAGCCAAGAACCGTGCTCCTCGGATTTCCAGCCCTCAGAAGTAAAGGTGGCGATGACGTCCTTCTTTGCCTGAGCTATGGCCTCTTGCTTATCAGCCTCAGCTTTCGCGGCCGCTTCCCTAGCTTCCTCGGCGGCAGCCCTCTCCGCAGCAGCCTTGCCCTTGGCCTCGGCATCTTTCAGCCTCTGCTCCACTCCCTCTTTGGTACGCCGGAGGGTTTCTTCCAGCTCCGCCATCTGCCTGACGGCCTCGGTGTTGGTCACAATCATCTTCTTAAGGGCCTCTTCATTCTGCGCCTTGTTTAGGCGCATCTGCTCCATCCTCCGGACGTATTCCCCGAAGGCCACACTAGCCTGCAAACATATATGATGACATTCAGAGTCAGACCACGAAAAGAGGGGACACAAAGGCAAACATTATCAAAGATCCAACAAGCCTGAAAACTTACAGTAACTGAGGCCTGGAGGGCCTTGTGCTCGAGAGCTTCATCGTCAAACCGGCCGAGGGTGGACCGATCAAGCGGGGGAGTGGCACCCCTAAGAAACTCCCTCGGGTCGAGGGTGCCGTGGATGATGGCAGTCCCCTTCTTAATGGGGAACTGCACAGTTTCCAAGGGCCAGGCCCCTTCGTCAAAATTCTCCAAAGGGAGGGAGCCCGAAGGCTTGCTCGGGGAGAGCTCCTCAATGATCACTACTGGGGGAGCCTTCTGCCCAGCATCCCCCTTTAGCTTCTTCTTTTCCGGAGGCTTGGTGCCCTTCTCGGCATTTTTCCTTTTGAGCTCCGCGGCATTGGAGCCCTCGATGACAACACCAGCGTCAACAATTCGTGAGGGCCTCTCACCCTCTTGGTTATTCGAGGCCTTCGGCTTCTTGAAAAACTCATCAACAGCCTTCTGCGTAGAGGGCCCCTCCTCTTTCTTCTTTTTGCTCTCCTTTGCGAGTTGTTTCTGCAGCTTGGCGAAGGCTTTGAGATCCATAATGTCACCTGCAAAAAATAGGGGAGAGTTAGATTCGAAACAGATCAAAACCACAAAATGTCTAAGTACTAAAGAGGGGATCCCTCGGTAACAACCTCCGGCATTTTGATAGCCTCGGGCAATCGGAGGATACCTCTCATCTTTCTCCCCCTCCAGTCGAAACCGTCGGAAACCTAGCAGATAGAGCTCGTCTGGAAGGGTGACAGCCTTTATAGTCAATAACTTGTTAGAGCCTTCGGGTTTCGCCGTTAGCTTTCTTCCGGCCTTCTCAAGGGCGTAGTTCCCAACCTTCAGATGCCTCCAAAAATGATCGCGCAGTGGCCTCGGAAAGGGGTTTTTCGGCATCCGGATGTAACAAAATCGATCTTTCCACCCTTTGTGGGATGACGGGATTTCAGAAAAAAGCCTCCAGTAGGGAAGTTGTCGTAAGTTGGCGAACCCCTCCGCGTGTGTATGCCCCCCCGGCACAAGTTAAACGACAGGAAGAACTGATCCAAAGTCGGCTCCACTTCTCGGGACCGGCAGAGCGAGAGAAAACCAGAGATGTATGAATGGCTGTTGGGGGATAACTTGCAGGGGGCCAACCCCAGGAACTCGAGGTACTCCAGCAAAAAGGAATGGAGGGGAAACCGGAGGCCCAAATCTACTGAGAGGATGTGCACAGAGAAGCATCCCTTGGGCGGATCAGACAGCAAATCGTTGGGGCCGGGTTCAACCACTTGTGCAGAGGGCCTTACCAGGAATTGGGTGGCTTGGTAGTCGGAAGCCGTCGCCTTTGTCTTCATCGCGAGGGCCGCCGTGTTCAGATATGAATGGCCCTCGGGTATGCCCACTGGCCGCCCCGCGTCGATGGCGGTCTGCTTCCTCTTCGGCGCCGCCTTCATCTTCCTCTTCCTCTTTCCCGGAGCAACCCGAAGAGGTTCAGGGTTCAATGGCCGAGAACTGCTCGCTTCTCCAGCGCTGTCGGGAGACACGACGGCAACGGTAACCGCCCTACGTTCCTTCTCCTCCTCCTCCTCTGCAACCTGGAGAGCGAGGGCCATCTCCTCGTCTTCCACTACTTGTTCGAACTCCTCGGCTTCCGCCTCGGTCCGAAGGTGGTCTTGAACTTCTTCAGCTATAGCAGAATCATTTGCTGACGACGCCTGCTCACTCGAGGATTCTACGTCCGAAAAGCTCTCCTGCTGGACCGAAGCCTCCCTCGATATATCATGCGAATCATCTCCCGAAGACATTGCGGAGAGGTAAAGATCGAAGGGTTCAGGTCGAAGGCTCCTAGAATCTATAAACACTAAATCTAGAGGGACGCAAGCAAAATATACCTAAGGAGGCAAGAACAGAGGGAGGACTCACATGAGATTCGGGACTTAGATCGAAGGGGTTACTTTCTCTCTCTAGAAAATTCGGCAGAGCTCCGCTATGACTCAGAAACGCACAGGAGGAAATGGCCTTAGCAAAGGGTATTTATAGGCTTATGGCCTCGAAATATGGGCCTCGATTTGAAAAGCCCATCATTACATGCCGTCTCATTCCCCAATGGGTGGTAGCCGCCCGCCCCCAGCCAACGAGGACACGCCACGTCAACTCCTCTTCCAACGGCTCCATTACAACGGCTATATTCCTCGAACACTAGGGTGCCCTCAAATGGTGGCCTCCGGCTATCACTGTCCGCAGCCTTCAGACAACGAATTCCACCAAATGCCTTCGAGCCCGCAGCAACATAAGCCTTCAGCTTGTCAATATTGCATCCTCGAGCATGTAGCAGCATACGCCTTCGGTTTATCAATGTTACAACCCCTCGGGAGCTCATCAACACATCATAACTCCTTCAGCCCGAACTCGCCTTCAGCCTAAAGGAGTGGGGGACTAGGATACACCCCTCGGGGATCGCACATAACGGAAAACAAAATTCCCACGAGCAAAGCAGATTTACACCCTCCGGCAAAACAGAATTTCAGAAAAACTCCGCATATTCACCAACAATGATAGAGTAGCCTTCATCACAACACATACGGAGATTATTTACACTTCCCTCAGAAAACCCTCGACATGTGAGGGACTGAGGGAAGCCTTCGGCAACCAGCAGAAGACAAGTTCTCAAGCAGAGGCACCCAACGAAATGATGAAACCTCCAGAAGAATCAACACAACTACTCCTTTTCCCTCAAGTACCTTTCGGCAAAAGGAGTGAGGGACTCCTGATGGAGTATATGGCCCAGGAACCCCCGACCCATAGACATCTACTTCTCCTACACAAGCCCATTGAGCCATGGGAACATCCCAGGCCCAAATGCAGCGGCCCGAGCGTCGAAGAAGCCCAGAATACACACTGGGGTGCCTTCGGCCTCCTTGGCCGAAGGCTCCAAAACTCACAGGATAGCCTTTTTGGGCATACGAGGCTACTAGGAGAAAAACGGCGGAAAACAGGAGCCTTAGGCATCATCAAGCCCTCGACATCAGAGGAGCCTCCGGCTGAACCAAGCCTCCGGTCACGCAGGGCCCTCGGCTACACAGGGGTCCCCGGTCACATGGAGCCCTCGGCTTCGCAAGGAGCCTTCGGCCAAACATGCTCAATCATCGAAGATTCCCTTTGGAGACAGCCAACCACCGCATTTAATGCAACGTCACATCCGCCAACCGCATTCAATGCGGTGAACGTACCACTGCCAGTGCCACCCGATTGATGTGATCCCTCGGCCGTTGGATTACTTACACGTGTACTCTCATCGCATTTATTGCTGCTATAAATAGCAGCCCATTTCTCATTGTGAACGATCTCAGATCTCACATCTCGAGTTCATTTTAATAAATCGACTCTCTCTCCTCCTACTTTGCTCTGACTTCTCTCTAGTTATTCCCGCAATAACCCCTCGGATAAGATACCCCCCGGGTAGACTGTCCATCAACTGTAGAGGGTCATTTTAGCTATTTTCATATAATTTTTTCTTTACTTTATTAATAAAAGGGAAAAGGTGCAAATAGGCTCATGTACTAACCAAAAAAGGTCAAATAAGCCCTTGTTTAGGAGGTTCTGTCCGGCCGTCGTCATTTGGGGTGGTTCCCGGTGGAATTTTTTGATGAATTGTTTTGAGCATCTTATTCATCAAGTCCAGTTTACTCATATCAAATTTCAGCTAAAACTTCAATCGGGAAGGCATTCAAATGAATTCTTGAAAATAACTGCGCGCAGTCCCTGTCGAAACCCACCACCAGTCCCAGACATGTCGGAAAACCTTCCCCTCGCCACTCACCTTAATCTCAGCCCATCCACCGCCATCGCACAGATCTGTTACAACCGCCGAAGTCCGCCGCATCGCCTCCCAATTGCTGTAGCCATCAAAGTCAGTCACCGCCCAGATCTGCTCAGGAGAAACAGATCTGCTGTAAGATACAGAAGTCGCTGCTGGCCCCCAAATCCGACGAATCACGACGCCGGCACTATCCGTACTTCGGCCCTTCGAAACTGTAGTCGCACACCGCGATGGTCAATGGTGCTGTCGTCGACGAATCTGAGGGCGGAGGTGCTAGATGCTACCTTTGACGATAAACCGCGGCGGATCATGGGCGGTGGTGGTTCAAGGATGAGGACGAAAGTGAGAAGGGTTAGTCGATAGAGAGGAGTCTGAAGCGAGAATAGAGAAAGGATTGTCAGGGATACGGACGGAGCTGTTAAGGGAGAGTCAGTTTTCTGTCCATTTTAAAAGTACTCATATTTTTGTCTTGGGGATTCTTTGCTAAAAAAAAGGGCTTTTGCCTTCAATATTACTAAATTAAAGCCACTATCCTAAAATGTGACCATTTTTCAAAAAGATAAAAAAGTGACTAAGAAGGTCATATATTTGAAAAAACATAATATCACTGTCAGATTTTATGTCACTGTGGCCACCGCCCGTGTCACTGTAGCCACCGCCCGTGTCACTGTAGCCACCGCCCGTGTCACTGTAGCCACCGCCCGTGTCACTGTAGCCACCGCCCGTGTCACTATAGCCACAACCCGTGTCACTGTAGCCACCGCCCGTGTCACTGTAGCCACCTCCCGTGTCACCGTAACCACATCTCGTGTCACTGTAGTCGTCTTTATCACTTTAGCCGCCACCGGACAAAGTGACTGGCCGCCAACTCCGTCCACCGCCGCCACTTTCCGGCCACCCCTCCCCAGCCCGCAAACCCCCTCCATAGCCCCTAGTACCCTCTAGGTCCGCCCAACCCACACCACCACCTGACTTGTCTTAGTCTACTCACAAATTCTCAGTAACCCAAGTGGTACGTCCCTAGCATCCCTGACCCTATCCCCACACCCCAGTCCCGACATTATCCCCACACCCCAATCCCAGCTCCAGCACCCAAAACCTCCGTCAAAATGCCCGACTAGCAAAAGCTCCCCTCCACGGCTCCCTAGTCTCGCTCATCCAGCCAGCGCCACCCAGCGCCTCCCAGTGCGGCCCAACAACCTGTCACATAGACCTGTACAAAACCGGCCTGGCCCACCCGGCCCGCCCAACCGGCCCGCACAAATGGGCGGGCTTGGGCATATATATTTACCCATCGGGCCGGCCCGAGCCCGGCCCGCAATAACATATGGGCGGGCTTGGGTTAGGGTGTAGGCCCGTTCGGGCCGATAAGCCCGGCCCGCTACATTTAGTGTATATATAAATATATATACACACACTAATTTATTTATTTATATACATGTACACATGTATATTTATATTTACTAATATAATTTACCTTTATTCATATTTATAGTTTATTATATGTAAATTTAAGTTTTTAGTTCTTAACAACTAGCCCAACTAATATAGTATCTATTTTTGTACTTAAAGATAATACTTTTTGCTTGAAATTTAAATTTTAGATATAGTTTCTCATAATTATTTTTATGTAAGTATTATTTTTGTATGTGGGGAAAGGCCTATAAATATTATAAGCGTATTAACAATTTTTTAAATGTTGTCATATTATTTTTAAAGTATTAAAAAAATTATATAATTTAGAAAAAATTAAACTTTTCCGGGCCGGGAGGCCCGGTGGATTACCCGGCCCGCTCTTACGGGCGGGTATGGACATGGAGTTAGGCCCGTTTTTGTGGGCCGGACCCGCCACACATGATGGGCAAAAAATTTATAAAAGCCCGGCCCGAGCCCGGCCCGAACCCGTTTTTGTGCACGTCTACTGTCACAACCGGAATCGGTCCCTGCAAAATGAAGACCACAGATCTGAATCGCCATCACAGATCTGAAATCAATAATAGATGTGAAGCTATTGAACATAGACGAAGAAGAGAAGCTGCGAAGAAGGTGAAGATGAAGCTCCTGTCTGTGTAGCAGACCGTCGCCGTCACTTTTTCGTCGACGTCGTACTGGTGGTCGCCGTCTTCTCCGATGGTGTCGCACTGGTGGTCTTTTTTTCTTCGATGGCTTTGCGATGGTAGATGATGAAGGTGAGAAGCAGGGATGGTGAAGAGGAGAGAAGAAAACATAGCTCATTTGTGTTCGTTCGCGTTAGAAGAGGGAAAGAAGATAAGGTAGCGGAAGAGTTGAATGGTTACATTTTTGCCCCAATCAAGTTTACTGATATTCGTGTCCACACAAACTCCTGGACTTATACAGGCGTCATTCTTTCAAAAAAAAAATGCATTTGCCGGATAAGCACATGTTGAAGCGTGTGGGTCAGGGGTGACGCAGATCCGGAACGAACTTATCTTATTTCAACGCCTCCGATCGTTCCACGTTTATTCCGCTCGTGTTCTCAGATCCTTCCTTCTCTCCACCTGTTTCTCTTCCCGTCGTTGTCTCGCCGATTTCCCAGTGGCAGTCGGCGTAATTAAGCAACAAATCTCTGTCTGTTTCCTTAACCTGGCCGTCCTTTCACTTCCTCCCATGTACACAGTACACACACTCTCTCTATATATATAAACTGTCTCTCTCTAAATATGTAGAGGTACACAGAAAATTGCCAAAGGATGGGAAATGTGAACGGCAGAGAAGACTGGATTTCCGGCTCCGGCGATGAGGTATCGATGAGATCCGGTGGCGAATCCAGCATGCTTGATCAGGCGCCTACTTCAGCTGACCTCATGTACCACTCTCCATCGCCTCTCTTGTTCGCTCCACAGGTTCACCATCAGCTTCATTGCTTCTTGTTTATGTACTGTATGCTGCTATCCCACTTGTGTTCATAGCATTTTTCGTATTTTATGGTCCTGGATATTGGCATGGTGTGGCTAAGTTTCTTTACTACCTTGGTGAACATTTAAAAATTCTTTACAACCTTGGTTAACATTTAAAAGTTCTTATAAAAGTGTCTAAAAATATAGACATGCTGGGTGAAAATGTGTGGTATATTGATAACGATGCCCACGTGGACGATGCGTGGTTATCAAAGAAGTTGACCATTAACAAAGTGACGAAGGAAATACTTGAACACAGATGAGTACAAGGATGCTAAAGGAAAAGCAAAGAAAGCTGTAAAGAAAGCAAGAAAGAAAGTGAATTAGGAGTTGTATGTAAAATTGGAATCTAACAAAGGAGAACGTTTTTATAAACTTGCCCATTTTCCTAATCGTATGGCTCAAGATATCAGAAAAGTTAAGTGTGTGGTAAATAGGTAAAATAGATGTGGAGGCCATACTTTGATGATAAAATATACCGTACAACCGGCTGTACCATGTGCTTGGTACAGCCGGGTATTTTTGTAATATTTTGCTGAATCAAGGGTTATTATTGGGGCAAGCTGTGTTTTCTATTCGATGAAGTTTTGCCGGACATCTTGCTGCGGACATCTTCATCTTGCTGCGACCTTCTTACAGGAGAGTTACGTTGGAGAAGAAGACTGAGGTGATGCGTCTGATAGACCGTTTATATATTGATGTACTTCGTATTTGGGAATTCTCCCTCTTTCTTGACCACCCCTAAAATTAGGAATTATTCTGCTTTGTTGACTATTGCTAGCATCTGGAACCCAGCTGGGAAGAGAAGTGCGTAATTGAGCTGGTTATTCTTGAATAGAAGAAGGGGGAGGGATATGTCATTGGCCGATTATGCATCTTCATCTTGCTGTGCACAACTTTTGATTTTTTGGTGTTCTATAAACACGAGGGTTTGGGCTACGCTAGACAGGGGCTGGATCGTTGGGTAACAAGAAAAGCCGGATTGGACTAATTGCTATTTGGGATTCCATGTTTTTTTTTGCTGATTAGTGCAATTTCATTTGTGGATGGTGCTTCTTTATTTATGTTACTCATATGAATTAACATTTGAGCATATTAAAGATTTTTGAATTTTTCGATACTCATTTCGTAAATTGTGTATGCTCATTCAATATTGATGTAATACTCATTTTAAAATATCATATTCATGCATGCTTAAAATGAGCATATTGGTGTAATGCTCATTTTAAATTTTCTGATGCTCATTTTGTTAGCTATGTATGCTTATTTAATAATTGAGCATAGGGTTGTATACGAACCGAATCGAGTCGAATAGTAGGATTTTGTATTTGTATTTGTTTAATTTTTTTGAATACGAATTCGAATTCAAATATGAAACGAATATTAATTTCGATTTGTATTTGTATTTGTTTAATAATACGAATAGTTAACGAATCTTATACGAATATCGAATATATTTGAGCATAGGTTAAATATTAGTCAAATATCACTTTAAAATAAATTTTATTATATTTTTTTTATGTTGTAAATGTACGCTATGACTTAATATGTGTTTTTAGAATTTAAATTCAATGGATCAATGTAGTTTTAGATTGTGCATGATATACTTAAGTGAATCAATTTTATGATTAACAAATATAAATCTATTTCAAACTTTTTGAAATAAACACTAACACACACATGTTAGAAATTATACTTATAATGTGTGAAATAAGTTGATAATTGTATATATCAAAGTCAAACGACTCTAATTTTATTCTGCAAATCAAATACATAATTATTTGTATTGTATTTGAAAGACATTTGAACCAAAAAACCAATTTGTATTGGTATTTATACTCTGACTTGTTACAAATGGACTTAGAATCTGTATGCATAAATGTATATATGAACTAAACTTTAGGGTATTGCTATCTTTTAAAAGTTATTATAGTGTTATTATTATTATTATTATTATTATTATTATTATTAATATTATCACTATTATTAATCGAATATATTTGATTAATATTCGAATCGAATACATTGATATTCTTATTTGTATTTGATAACAACTCGAATCAAATTTAATATTCATATTTGTATTTGTATTTGAATTTTTCAAATTCGAATCGTCTTATACGAATTCGAATCGCGAATCGAGCAAAAATTATTTGATTCATTTACAACCCTAATTGAGCATACTAAAGATTTTAAATGATTTTTTTGAATTTTTCGATGCTCATTTAGTAAGTTATGTATGCTCATTTGGTGTTGGTGTATTGCTCATTTTAAAATGTCATATTCATTCATATTTCAAAAGTATAATATTACACTAGATTCGCATATGGGATTCATACGGGTTCAATATAAACATTTTAGAAAGTAAAAAAAAGTGAATTACAAGTACAAGATATGAAGCAGAGATCACGATGTTCAGTACTTGACTTCTAATACTCAGTGAAATAAGTCACGATGCTCGCTCAGTGAAATGATTTTTTTTAATTGTCGGTGCTCATTTCATAAGTTATGTAGACTCATTTGTTGTTGATGCAATACTCATTTCATGTCCATGTTATGCTCATTTTTAAATTGTCATAACAATTTAAAAATGCATTGTTATGACAAATTAAAAATGAGCATAACATGAGCGTTTTGAATTCATAGGAATTGATTATAGATATAATTTAATGAGTATTATAAAAGAAAAAATAAGAAAAAGAAAGTAAATTACAATATATGAAGTTGATATTACAATACTCATTATTTAACTATTAATGCTCAGTAGAATACGTCTGATGTTAATTAAAAGTTTATTAATGCTCATCCAACAAAAATCGCGGTTTTCACTGAAATTACGAAAATGCTGCCGAATTTTAGTTGTGATATCAGCTTTCTTGTAATAACACGGTGCTCATTATTGGACGCTTAATACTCATTAAAATTGGACTATTGCTCATTAACAATAGACTAATGCTCATTTAGTAGAAACCGCGATTTTCACATTAATTACAAAATGCCACCGAATTATTTTGCTATTTTTCCCTTAGGCCTGTTACTAGACCCAACGAGAATAAAATGCAAGGTAATGATGATCTTACTATACCATATTGTATGGTAAATTGGGACTTTGTGAGTAGGATTGACGTATTGATCGAGGTCAGAAGAAGTTCAGGAGAGAGACGTTGAGTGGTTAACACGTTTGTTAAACAACATTTGGAGAAACAACAAAATGCCAGCGAGTTGGCCGAAGAGTACTCTTGTTCACCTATTTAAGAATAAGGGTGATGTATAAGAATGTGCCGACTATCGAGGATTAAGCTTATGCGCCACACCATGAAACTTTGGGAGCGAATGATTGAGCAAAAATTTCGAAGAAGTGTGAAAATTTTGGAGAACCGATTAAGTTTTATGCGTGATCGCTTAACAATTCAGGTTAGTTACCTTCAACTGAGTCGAAGCAATATTGAGTATACGGAGTGCAAGTTTGGTAGAGATAGAAGTAGTGATAATAGTGAGAAATGTATCTCATAGAATCATAACAAAGTAGATGAAATGGCAGAGTGCGTCATGGTTTCTATGTGATCAAGGTATGCCGATTAAACTGAAGGGTAAATTTTATCGGACACCGATAGACCTGCATTACTATATGACATAGACTGTTGGACGGTGAAACAATGTCATATCTAAAAGATGAGCATGGTAGAGATGCGCGTTTTGCATTGGATGTGAGAATGAGATAATCAGTAGGAGTATCACCTATAAAAGGTCAGATGTGTGGGTCTCGATTGCGGTGGTTTGGTCATCTGCGTAGAAAACCAAACGATGCACTTGTTGGATGAGTTGAAGGGTGAGGAGAAGAGACGTGGAAGAGAGTGGAAGATCCAACAAACGTGGATTAGAGAAATCGAAAGTGATATGCTTCTTCTTGATTTGGATGAGAGTAAGAATGTGGAGAGAGCAAAGTGGAGGGCGAAATTCGTGTGGATGTTTGATTTCTTTTCTCTCTTTTCTCTCTGTTTTTCTTTTGCTTTTAACTACTTTATCTTTCTTACCTTGTTTAACATTTTTATCCTTTTTATTATATATATATATTATCTGATCATTTTTATCTTTATCATATCTTTATCTTGCTTTATTTATCTCTTTTATCTTGATTATCTTTCTTTTCTTTTTAAACCTGATATCATGTATGGATTAATGTTAGCCGACTTCAAAATCTTTGAGATTAAAGCTTGTTGAAAGACACCTAGAAATTTAGGAAGTATATGAAAATAATCATCATCATCATTTTCATTTACCCCAGTGCCGCAAAGGCTCCCACCTACGGTGGGGTAAGGGGGGGGTCAGATGTACGCAGTCTTATCTATGTACTAAAGTACAGAGAGACTGTTTCCGGATGACTCATAGTGAAAATCGCGTCCAAAATTACATGGATTGACTGTTGCTTCATAACAAAGAAGCGCAGACAGTTTAGTGAGTCATTTTACTTTATTCCATCATATTCTCAAGCCAAAAAATAATGAATCTTTGGCTCCATTGCAAATGATGGAAATAGCAAGTATATGAAAATATATGGAAAATTTGTTCTCATTATGTTTCCCAAAAATATCTGCTAATGATGATTTTTATATTATTAACGAATTAGCTATAGTGACTTATCCTCAAATCTTTTGCAAACTTTCTTTAATTTATGTTCCGTTTGATTTTCGCTGAGATAGGGCGTGTAATTTATCATGAAATCTCTTTTCACATTGGAATTTAGGATGAGTAATATTCTTCAGGAAACAAATCCTACATCAAGATTTGGATATTTTTTAAATTATTAATAGTAATATAACGCACTTATTTCGACCAATAAATAACGAGTAAGACTTACCTCATAGTAGTTTCTTATACTTCCCATGTATGGGATTGTATTGAGCATTTGAGACACTCCAAACTCCAAAATTCACCATTTACTTACCTTAGTTGTTTGACTTGTTTCTTAATACTGGACTTGAAAAACATACAACTTAGGAAGTATGAAAAGTAAAATTTAGTCAAATTGACTATGGAAGCTAGTGACATACAATTAGGACAGAGTGAGCATTAGGATGCTAGAGAATCATGTTTCTTCATATCACTAGTCAGAGGTAATGTTGTGTCTTTATATGTGATTAGTCTGGGACAGTCTGGGGTTCTTTACTTGAATGTGTGGATGAGATTTGGATTGAATGGGCTAGATAATGCTCAGTTTATCATAAAGACAAACAAGTGGAGAGGGGAACTATTAGTGTTAGTCGATGAAAACTAATCAAACATTAATTGTATATTAGCTCCAAGAAGGCAAGAAGTACAAACTCATCTCACTTCGCAAAGTGAAAATTAATCATAGTCATCCATATTAATGAGGTTATGGTGGATTTGAGAGAAAGATGGGAAAATTCCCCACTAACCGCATGAGTTACGGTGGATTGGAGAAAAACATGGGAAAACTCCTACTAACGGTTGAGTATTTAGTGGCTCAAACAATTCTTACCCTTGATGTTGTAATTTTGGACAGATAAAATGAATTTGCATTTTGTACCGGAAGCATACTTCGTATCTGATCTTAACCCGGATGACTATTTTTACTTTTTGGGACAATGTTTGCTGCATTATACCAGGAAAAGAAAATATTATTCCTTTAGGGGAAACTATATCACATTATGGCTATGGGTGATGGTAATTCCAGGATAATTCACACATGTATTCTTATTTTGTAAATATTTTCATTTTTGTTTAGCTTGCTTATGGAGCGAAATAATATTTTCTAGAACAAATTTTCATATATGTTTGCTGTCACATTAACTCTCCGTGGATAAAAAGAGAAATACTGACAGCTGAATAACAGACTTGCTGCGAGCATCCAAATAACACTAACAAGTAACAAGTACATGATTCCATCAGAGTTCTGATTTTACTGAAGCCAATATGATAGTACGAGAATGCCATGTCAATGAAAGGTTTTTTAGACTAAGAGGAACTGGACATTTGATTCTATTGCATGAGAGAAATGCCACAGATTCATCTCTTTGTTGTTAATTTTGGGCAAATCCAAAGTGATTAAACATTAATGGGGATCGATTTATCTAACTTGACCTTTCTGCCTCAAAAAGTTAGGTTTCAAAGGATTCAAGATACTGACCTAGTTTAGTCATCAGTCACTACTTTCCCAAATTGATGTATATGTTGATGCTTTGTAAAAAGAAATCCCCTTTTTATTTCCTTAGGTTCCAGTAGTGCCACTGCAACCACTAGGGGGCAATGCTGCTCCTGTTACCAATCAAATGTGGTCATCCACCGAGCTTCACGGTACTGCCAATCATATTCCCGAGGAGGGCATACCTACTCTGTTAACTTGGAGTTATGGCGGCAACAATGTGACAGTAGAAGGATCTTGGGATGATTGGAGGTCAAGGTGAGTTACTTCTTTGTACTCATATCTTATAAGAGCTACAGTAGAACTCTGTTATTCTTCTTATCTATATGAATGTAAATGGTGGCCTAATCTACATATTTACTAGCAGGAAGGTACTCCAGAGATCAGGCAAGGATCACGCTATTCTCTTGGTCCTCCCATCTGGTGTATATCATTACAAATTTATTGTGGATGGTGAGGTTAGATATATCGCAGAACTCCCCAGTGTACCAGACGAGATGGGTCGATTCTGTAATATTCTCGATGTTAATGTGAGTCAAATGTTCTTCCTTTAAATTGATTGATATATTGATTTACATTGTTGAGTAATTTCTTCACATTGCTGGTGTAATGTAGACTAACCCTTTGACAGCATGAATGCAATCAATTTTCTGTGCTGTGGTTTTCTCACGTTTTAAAAATCATCTGCCTCAAGTGGTGATTTTTCAATGCAATTGTACAAGCATGCTTGGCAGATATGTTCAAAATAACCATGTTTTTTGTTTATTCACATTTATACATGCACATAAACGGAAGGGTTGTTATTTATTTATGTAAACAGCATGACAATATAAGACTAAGATGAAACTAGTGGACAAAAATGATTATATTACGTAGTGAACATAGTGGTATTTATTCAGTCACCATTGTGATGTACTGATGTCATTAGACTGTCTATAGTGACCGTAATTTTATTTCCGTAGTGTCAATAGTCATATTTTGATCTCTTAGTTATATTTCAGCAATGCTATAGTAAAAAACTCCATTTATTTATTTATTCGTTCGTTCGTTCGTTCGTTCGTTCGTTCGTTCGTTCGTTCGTTCGTTCGTTCGTTCGTTCATTCATTCATTCATGTTAGCAGGATAATGTGCCAGAGAACCTGCATAGCGTTTCGGAATTTGAGGCCCCAGCATCACCTGAATCAACCTATGATCAAGCATTTCTAGGAGAGGAGGATTTCGTAAAGGATCCAATGTTGGTTCCTCCTCAACTCCATCTAACTGTTCTTGATTCAGAAAATACAGATGGAACAGATGCTTCTTCCAAGCCCCAGCATGTGGTGCTTAACCACCTTTTCGTAGAGAAAGAATTGCCGTCATCACAGTCTGTGGTTGCTCTTGGTCTGACCCATAGGTTCCAGTCCAAATATGTCACAGTTGTCCTCTATAAGCCGCTAAAGAGGTAAAATACCTAATCTCTGGGGTTGTGGAAATGCTCACTCGTTTTCTGATTTTGGACAACTCTTGAAGTGTTTTTAACTCCCCAACTAATTCACGTATGTCTTTTCTCTCCCTCTCCATCTGTACATCTCTGATCTCATCATGCGTTACTCCTCCTCTCTTATGTACAAATGCAACAATATCATTACCTGCATTTAACCATCCTAACCGTGTGTCTTCATTTATTGGCTCTATCGTGTGCACGTTTCCCTTGCAAAATAAAGAGCTTGATTTTGTTATCTTTTACTCTTGTTTTTTTGGGGGTGTGTCTTGTGTGTGTGTGTGTGTTTTCATGAAATGTGGAGTCCAGTCCATGTGTATACCTAATATCGGCATTCTCCTTGTACATCGTTGAGATGCCACATTACTGAATGTCTGAACACTAAATCTATTTGCATTTTGTGTATAATTCGCTTTACTACTCCTTGCTTGGTATTTTTGCAAATTCGTATAGTATTTCAATCATCCGTTGTCTCTTTACGAAGCTAAATTGTACGAATTGTATTTGAAAAAAGGCAAAGCCTTGTTGAAAGTTGAACAAGAATAATTACAAGGAATCCTAGATCTCTTGTAATGTGCATGTGAGAGGAATTTTCACTTCTGGTCCAATATCTAATTTTCACTTTTAGTCTTTGACTTTCATCCTTTCACGTCTTGTGCAATACTTACACTTCGTTAATGTTTATGCATTTATCATGTGGAAATTAACCAGCAAGAGGACCAATAATGGCAAGTAATCCATAATCAATATGAGCAAAAGTGGAGTTCTTCCCATGTGATACTATCAGCAACGTTGGTTGATGGTGTAGATGTGTAGTCCGCATGGCGCATATTAGCCTTCGGTCTACCCCAAATTTCTAAACATCATACGTGTATATTACTAATGTATAATTTTTGTGTAAAAATCTATTCAAAAAATATTTTTATCGGCTCAGCAGTCAATCCAATGTTAGACAATATACTCTTTCCGTCTCACAAAATTCTTCCCACTTGCCATTTTGGGATGTGCAAAAAAAATCTTCTCATTTTCCTTTTTGGAAAGTTTTGTGTGACTAATATTCATTTACTTTGTTCATACTCAATTATAATCATACATTTCCATTTTATTCTCACTTTCTTAATAAGCGTGTCAAGTTAAATTGGGAAGTATTTTTTAGGATGGAGGGAGTATATCCTTGGCTATGCCCTGATAGTCGGCATTTGAAATGCCAGACTCAAATTAGAATTCTGAAATGGTTCTATGATTTACCAATTTTCCTTTTTTGATTGTTTTAAAAAGGGAAAACTGTCAAATAGGTCCTCGAACTTTCATAAAAAGGTCAACTAAGTCCTTCTATAGGAGGTTCTGTCCCGCCGTCGTGATTTGGGGCAGTTCCCGGTGGAATTTTTTGATGAAATTTTTTGAGCATATTATTCACCAAGTCTAGTTTACTCATACCAAATTTCAGCTACAAATTCAATCGGGAACACATTCAAATTAATTCTTGAATATAACTGCGCATTTTTGCGTTCTCGAATTAATTTGAATGTGCTCCCGATTAAATTTTTAGTTGAAATTTGGTATGAGTAAACTAGACTTGATGAATAAGATGATAAAAAATTTTCATCAAAAAATTACACCCAAAAATGCTTGGATGCTGGGCATCTAACCCCCTTGGACCTAGGTGCTCCTTTAGCCGGGGTGTAATGGCATTCCTGAACTTGAAGTACATGGATGAGGCTATCTTGTTCCTCACTTGGGCGGAGGTACTTATGAGGTGCAATGGCGCTCCTTAGCCCACCCAAAGTGCTTGAGTGAGGGATCATCTTGTTCCTCAATTGGGCCGAGGTGCTCAGACGGGGTGCAATGACGCTCCTTGATCTAATCGAAATGATCGGATGAGGGGTCATCTTTTTCCTCAATTGGGTCGAGGTGCAACTTTATTGATTGGGAGGATCCAATCCTTTACATGGCTCCCAAAAGGAGTATTTATAGGAGAAACGTGTGTTGGCTTCTAGGCTTGTGCCTAGCAGGTCCAATTACAATAAAAGACCAATAAATGATTAATAAATGATATTTAATCTATTCTAATGGGTATACATGAATAAATAGTGTACAATAATGTAAATGCTATCTACTGTGGGTACATGGACCGTTGTCTGTTCCTAATAGGCATGAGATCGGGGGTCTGAGTCCATATATTATATCAATATGTAAATTTTATTGATAATCATTCCTTTTGGAATTTTCAAAATTTTAGCAATATAGAAAATTTCATGCACTCTATTTGCAAGAATATACACTTGGACTTCAATGTTGAATCTTCAAGGCTAATATAATGTTTTTTTTTGGAAAAAGACAACTTAATTGATATTAAAATCAAGAACCAGATACAAAGCTGCCACATTAAAGGTTACACTGGGATGAGACACAGAGTTGGAAGATCGCTGAAATGCGACCCAACTCGCTAACCCCACAAGCAGACTCCACTACAACAATGTTGCACTTGCTACTAAAATGAATTATAAGGGTAACTAAAGAGTCTGGGAAAAGAGTAAAAATAAGAATAACGAGATCCATGTTTTCTAGCCACTAACAAGGAAAAGTGTGGTTTGTACAGCCCTCGTCAAAGGTCCATCTTCGTTGTCACATAGGTCCCCATCATTGGCTTAACAGGGTCAACCGCCATGCACTTCTTCATCACTACTCACAAGTTTTTCCTCTTGCTTGACCATCGAACTATTCTCATCTTCAAGGGTTTCAGTAAATATGACAGGTGTTGCCTCCCCATAGCACCGCCACCTGTCCGTTTTTTCGAATCTTCCTCATATACCTCCATGTTGGCTTGAGTATCCTCTATGATATTCGGCTCTATCACTTTGCGCTTCCAGGGCTCTTCCTCTCGGGAATCAGCTATGCCTTCTCCTCTAGGGAGCAATCCTTCCATTATATAATTGTGTGTCACTGTGTCTCCTCAAAACTCACTCTGCTTTTTTCTATAACATTCTCAATCTCTTCTGATCCTCACATGAGCTGGTTCCACTTCCGCTAAGGATATTGCCCAGTTGCACTCCTCCTCTCCTCATATCAACACACATCCAAACCCCATATGCCTTCTCTCTGGTCCAAGATCCAGAGTGAGTATTAGATGGACAAAAACGATCAAAATGTCCCAGGATTCCACAAATGAAGCGGAACTTTGAAAGACGCTCATACTTGAACTCTGCCCAGAACCAGTTACCCCCCTCCTTCCTTATATGTAGTTTGTGAACTATTGCTATCTTGATATTCATGATCACCCGAATCCACAAGATGGATCTCCAAACACCTCTTATCGTGCGCTCATCAACTGCAATGAACGGACTAGTTGTGTTTCCAATACCACATGCAACTTTCTGTGTCATAAAGCCTAGAGGTAGGTTATGGATCTGGACCCAAAAATCAGTATTGTCTGATGCCACCTCAAGTGGTCTATCCACCTGTCCTAAACGTCGTATTGCCACCAAATTTTGTTTGAAGGTCTAAGGTTCGTCCTGAAGTACCCGGTTGATATCCCCTTCAAGCTAGAACTGTAAAAAAAAATTGAGTCGCCAATTTCGTCAATTAAAACACCTTTGACCGGTCTCCAGACCATCGCGCGCCAAGGTTGCCCGAAATGCAATGGGATAAATAGATTTGTCTGTCACCACACTTGCCAATGCCAAGAAACGTGGCACCACCATCACTCCATCTCCTTCTCCCACAGCATCATCGTAACCCCTCACCAAAATCTCCCTCATGCTACCATTGTACACAAAAAACAGCCACCAAAGCCCTTAAGGAACGAACAACAATTATGCTGCAACCCTCCACTAGGTTTTCCACTAAACCGCCAAGATTACAAAGAGTAAAAGTAGTAAATATAATACTCAACACACACTAGTGCAAAATAAGCAGAGACCTACACCGGAGCTAATGGATTCAAGCCAAGAAGATTAATCATTCTCGTGTAAGCAATCAAACAGAAGAAAAAGGACCAAACCCGTTCCCAAGGAACATAAGACATAACCTTGGCAAACAAACAGTGGTTGCCGGACTACACCAACCATAAAGCCAACTGACTGAAATAAAAAATAAAAACACACGATGAAACTTCGGTCCAGGCAGAGAGTGAATCAACGACAATGCAGCATTCCCTTCCCATACGTGAGCTCGCTCTGGTTCAAACGCCGGCCTAGATCATGTAATATTCCTCAGGGCCACTTCTCCTAGGGTTTTCCTGATATAGGCTAATATCATGTTAAGAGTTTGATTTAGGGAAATTTTCCCGACCAGCCATAATAAGGGAAATAATATCAACTTTTAGAAACTTAGATTCATATTTCAAAAATAAGCCACGTAATACCTTCTTTTCAAAAAAAGCCCATATATAAACATAACCAAATTTGAAACCCAAAGCTACTCGTCGTCTCCAGAGCGCGAAAACTACGGAAGTTTTCATGGCGTGATCGCGTTTTCTGAGCTGCGAACAAATCAGATGATCTCAACATTCATGGCGTGATCGCGTTTTCTGAGCACAAATTGGATCGCGAGACTGAATCAAAATTATCAGGTAATTTTACCAAGTACGATTACCTATTTCCAATTCTACTGAGAAATCAAGGTGCGATAATTAGTTATATGAGAAGCTATTCGATCGCGTTTTTGAGCATGAAATAACACTTCGTTTTTGAGCATGAATGTAAGTTTTTTTTATGTTTTCAAATAATTGTTGATGAATGAGTTGTTCTATTTTTTGAAAATTAGAGTGATGAAATTTTTGTTTTTGTTTTTGCAAATTGCAATATGAATAACTTTTGTTTTTGTTTATGCAAATTGCAATACTCTGTAAAATTAATTGGAGTTCATTAAGAATGAACGATGTCTATTATTAATAACAGGGAACATGGAAACAGTTCCTATTTTTGTTCATCATGATGGTGAATGGAATGAAACAATGGAGTATGTGAATTTCAATGTCTTTGGAATTACTTTAGCTACAAATAGTTCTTATCCTGAGTTGATTGCAAAGATAGGAGACAGGATTGGAATAGAAAGACAATCAACTGCACTGATAATTCAATACAAAGTCAGAGAGAATTATCCACCATTGATGATACAAGATAACTCAGCACTGTTGTTTTACCTACACCTTAAGAAACAAGAGATGGATGTCACCAAATTCCCTCTATGTATCAGCCTTGCTGATGTACATGAAGAAACAACTTGCAACATATTTCTTGGGCGATATCAACAACAAGAAACAAGTAGCATGCAAGTAGTGACAATGTCTGAACATAGTTCAACAATTAGTGAAGAGTTGGACATTAATGGTTTTATATTAGCTTGGGCAAATAAAACCAGTAAAGAACTACTGGAACAAAAATGTGTTGAGCTAGCATCAACAAATTGCATTAAAAGTGATGTAGATCCTGAAGAAGGACTGATTTACATCAACAGGGATGAGTTCAGGAAAGCACTTAAGATGTATGCTATCAAAAATCACTACCAGTACAAGGCACATAAGACAAATAAAAAGTATTTTTCTGCAAAATGCTTGCATGAAAAGTGCAGTTGGGAGATAAGATCAAAAGAAACTGGAACCTTGGGAAGGTTCATTGTCGTGAAGTTTATAAAAACACATTCTTGTAGATTGGATGTCAGATTAACAGATCAAAGACATGCGACATCCAGTTTGGTAGCAGACTGTATTAAGTCTAAATTGGTGGATCCAAAAACGTCATATAATGCAATGGATGTACAGAGAGATCTGTTAGAGCAGTATGGCATTGAAATAAGCTACTTAAAAGCGTGGAGAGCAAAAGAAAAGGCACTAATTAAGCTAAGAGGAAAACCAGAAGAGTCCTACAGGTTTCTGCAACAATTCATGAGTATTGTTAAACAAACAAATCCTGGATCTTTTCTGCAAATCAAACTTAATGAAGACAATACTTTTTTATATGGATTCATGGCAATCAAAGCATCAATACATGGCTGGAAATTCTGCAGACCGATCATAGTAGTTGATGGCACATTCCTGACCGGGAGATATGGGGGCACACTGTTAACAACGTCAACACAAGATGCATGTGGGAAAATATTTCCATTAGCATTCTGTGTTGTTGATTCTGAAAATGATGAATCTTGGAAATGGTTTTTCTTGAATATTAGAGAAGCTTTTGGTTATAGGAATGGAATGGTGATTGTTTCTGATAGGCATGAGAGCATTGCTAAAGGTGTCATAGAAGTATATCCTGAATCTGGACATGGGATATGCATTTACCATTTGTTTAACAACCTCAAGACAAAGTTCAAAAGAAAAACAAAAAAAATGAAAGATAATTATTTTGAAGCAGCACAAGCTTATACCAGGGAGGAGTTTGATTGCCACATTGAGGAACTGAAGAAGATTGATGAGGAAATAGTTCCATATCTGTACGGTGTTGGGTATGAAAAATGGACCAGAGTGTTCTCAATCTCCAAAAGGTACTCAACCATGACTTCAAACATAGCAGAATCAGTAAATGCGGTACTGAAAAAGATAAAAAAATCTGCCAATAACCGCTTTGCTACAGTTCTTACACACATTGGTACAAATATGGACACATGTAAACAGAAATGGTGCAAGAAATACATTCACATAACTTGCAAAAGTTCCTCATGAAACTTTAGAACAGAACTACATCAAAGACATGAAACTGAAGGTATATAATTTAGACATAAAGTTCTTAATTTTTTATATAAAATCTGAAATAATAGTATTTCGTATCAAATTTTATTTGCAGGTGGTTCCTTCTAATGAGGTGATATTCAGTGTTTATGAAATGAACAGAATCTTCATTGTTAATCTAGATGACAAAACGTGCACTTGTAGAAGGTTTCAAATGGAAGAATTGCCTTGTATGCATGCACTGGCAGTACTAAAAAAGAAAAATCAAGAGCCGTACAGTTTTTGTTCATCTTACTACACAAAGAAAACATTGTTGCAAACTTACAGTGAGACACTGCATCCTATTCCGGATCAAAAAACATGGCAAGTGGATATGTCAGACCCAATTTTGCAAGTTTATCCACCACATGCAAGGAAGAAGGCGGGAAGGCCGAAAAAGCAGAGATATAAAGCACACTGGGAGACTACCACAACAAACAAATGTGGGAAGTGTGGAAAGCAAGGACATAATAGAAAGACATGCAGGAATGCACCGCAAAAGTAGATACTATAGCTAGTTTGAGAACTGTTTTAGTAATTTTTGTATCTATCATTTCTGTTGAAGTTCAATTCAAATGTGCATGAACACTATTAGTATCAATTTTATATGACTGTGTTTGAATTCTATATGACTGTGTATTCATTTTATATTTTTTAAGTACAAATCTCGAATTATGTATGAGACCAGAAACAATAAGAAACAACTCAAAACAATTTTAGAAACGATTTTGGGAAGTGTTTTGTAACTTATATTTATTACTTGTGTTAAAAGTCAATTAAAAAGAGGATAAGTGTGAACAATAAAAATCATAATTCTATATGATTGGGTGCATATAGTACACGAGGAAAATTACAAGTACTGAATTAAAAATGAAACAAGAAAAAACAACAACAAACTATAACAGAATAAAAAAATAAGCTATACCAATAAGATGGAAAAATCAATACAAATTCTGTACAGAAAAATAAGCAAGCAAAAGGCTAAAAAACAGACTTAGAATATAACAAGGAAATAAGAAACAGAAATAAACAAGAATAAAGTAGTAATGGAAACACAAAGAAACAAGGAAAATATAAGTCATATATTGGTATATAGAATACATGAAGTGTATGACATCAGTATACAACAGATGTTCATAGGAAGCATTTCATATAGCATTACATTTCCACAAAAAAACAAAAATATATAGCCACTTAACAAAAGTATGTTTACAATACAAAGATTACTCATAACTACATCTATCTAATTCTTCAGCTTCTTGCGCTTGCGCTTACGTTTGCCTTCATCACCATCACTCTGCACTTCACCATTAAGCTTAGACACTCCATACTGATAAAGAAAATAGGCAAGCCTCGATCTGTATAGCTCAATATCCAAAAATGGAGGAATCTCTATGCCATCAATGAAGTATTCAGCAAAAGCAGCAACATAAGCCCCACAGTCACTAAAAAAAGAATAATCAAAATCAATATTTGTATTAGTAATAGATGGGATAATGTACAAAACAAAATCAGTATGATAAGATAAATAATCTTACGCTGATTCTTGAACAGGCAAGTTAGTCATGAATTTCACATCTAAGTTCTTATTAACATCCATTGCACGTTTATAAAAGTGGTCCATGTGTCTAAAACACAAAGGCAGAATCACAGTATATGGCTTAACAGCATCTGTAGCATGAGCTATATCCCTTGGACTGACCATGGAATTATAAACATATATGCACCAATCATTAATACAAAATCTAGCTAGAATCCAATGCATCTGCGTCTTAATGTAAATTGGCATAAAACATGGTCAACTTCTTCCCAAGCTTTTGAACAGGGCAATTGAAGCCCTACAATAGAATCACATAGACCTGCAAACTTGGACCAAGAAAATGTTTTATCTGGGGTTGCAGTATATGCTTTCAGTACATTCACATTAAAAAGAGTATCAGTTGTTGTGAAACTGATTTTGCAAGTCTTAGTAACTTCAGCCTTCTTCCTGAAGTAATAAAAGATCACATCTAAATGCTGCAAGAAAAAAGGAAATCAGAAACTAATAAATAAATATGAACTCAAAATAAAATTATTTAAAAAAGCAAGTAAACGTCCAGATCAACTGTCCCAAATAATAAAGAGAGTGGAACCATGTCTTCGATTCCACAAAAGCAACAGTAAAATCATATCCAGGGGTGAGATGATCAACTTTAGAAGGATACATCAACTTCGATCTACAAAATGATAAACAATATGTCAAAAACCAAACTATAATAAAACTGAAATGTAAGATATTGCTATATTATAAACAACCTTTTACGCTTATAAGCTCCTTCATCAATCCAAATGTTAAAAGCACCAAGAATAGAAGGGGTGGCACACAGACTGCCTCATCAGCAAAAGGACATGGAAGATTAACAGTAGAAGGCTGGACAGACCCACATCCAGAATCAAACTCCGCAACAAAAGGAGATTTGACAAAAGTACTCGGCTTCACATTCCTCTTTTTCCTAAGCAATGACTCAGATGTATGCTCAACAGAAATGGGAGGAAAAAATGGCACATAAGGAACTAATGTTATCAAAGCAGTTGAAGAACCTAAATAAGGATCATTGCTAGAAGACTACAAAATAAAAAATGAATTTCAATATATAAAAGTATAAAATCAGAATATATAAAAGAAACAAGACAAAATACAAAGTGAAAACCTTAGAATTTTTAAAATCTGAAACAAGAGAATCAAGCTCAGCAAAGAAAACATCATCCTCAACAACATCATCCTCAACAACATCATCACAAGCAGAAGTTGGTGTATGGTCAATTGTTTGGTTTTCAGTACTCATGAAATCAACAACAGTAGAAATAACCATGTTCTGGAATGAGTGGATCAAAGCATTATCAAATTCAGCATAATGTAACTCAGTCACAGTAGAAAAAACCAGATTTTCAACAGAAGCCATCAAAACAGTATCATTCTCGGCCGACATGCAATAAATAAATGTTGAGAACACAAGATCATATATGAAATGAAGGAAAATATCAGAATCTTTAGACTCCAACTGCTGCAAATGACGGGTCATGTCAGGAACATCATCCGCAATCTGATAACAGAAAGGATCAATGAGATTAAAAGCATGGAAATAAAGAATTTCATAAAAAGAAAGAAAGCAGAGAAACAACAGTGAAACAAAATTAAACAATGAACACAAAATGAAAAAAGGAACAATCCATAACCTGTGTATCATCTGAGGCATGTCCATTAGGGTCAGCAGATATCAGTGATTCATCTAACTGACCAGAATGAAGATCAACATTTACATCTCCACCAGCAGAAAGAATATCAAAGTCATTATCATTATCAGAAAGACCTTTCGCAGTATCAACATCATCATCACTAACAGAATTAGTAACTACAGGTTCTTCTACATGTTGATTTATATCACGAGAGAAAAAAATCAGAATTTGTGTGTTTGGAAGATTGAACATGGGAAAGTGAAATAACACGGTCAAGCTTGTGTTCTAAATCAGTAAACTCGCCCTGAACAAACTCTTTGAAAGCAAGAAGTTTGGTGTCAAGCTGGTTTTCAAAAGCCTGTAGAACAGAGTTCGAAAATACACCATCAAAAGAAGAACTAGTTCCCTCCCCAGCATTTGAAACAGATGACATATTTTGGGGCCTCAATGGATGAGATGAAAACAAAGCATGCAACTCAGGTGATTGACTTTCAAGGGCAGTAAGTTCAACATTGTGCAGCTTCAACTGATAAATAAAAAACATAAAATGAAAATAAATTAAATGGAATAAAATCATAATAAAAACAAAAAAGTAATAATGAAAACAAAAGTAAGACAAAAACCTGAGAGGCAGATAAAGAAAGAAGTTCCATATTCAACTTCTTGAAAGTGTGTGCAATGGAAGAATGCCAAGACAACATTCGAGGAATAGTAGAAACAGATCTACAAGCAAACACACCATCGCAGTAACCACAACACTCATAAAACCAGACCTGAAGAGCAAGAGGAAATCCTAAAATACGATAAAAGAAATAATCACTTTCCGAATCATCTGCTCCAAAAAGTCTGCCCTTCAAGTTCTGTAATGTCACATCAAAAAGATCTTTTCCCCAATCATAGGAATCCCATAAACCAGAATCAACAATAGCCAAATAAGTTTCACTTATGACCTTATCCTTAGATGAAGTAAAGAAGAACAGACCAAGGACATACAGAATACCAATTTTAACTGTATCTTCATCACAATCAGCCTTTTGACCAAGAAAACAAGTTTCAATATCTTCACGAGTAACTTTAGAACAACTGTTGAAATACTTTTTGATAAGTGAATTACTATCTGATGAAGGAATAGTAGAAGTATCAAATTCACCACTACACTTCAAACCAGTCACAACGGCAAATTCAGCAATTGAAAAACGCAAACCAAAGCCAGAAACATCAAACCAGATCTCCTTGGGAATACTGTGACTAATTTCTCGCAAAAGCAAACAATGCACAAGTTGAGGCTGCAATTTAAGGTCTTGAAAATCCAACAATTTACCAAAGCAGGTTTCCCTAAATAATCCCAATTGCACATCAGTCATCTTGGCCTTAAGATTTACAGAAATGCAATCCTTGCTAAAAGTACAAACTCTACTGTTAAACCACGATTCAGATGGAACAAAATACTGCCACTCCTGGATTTAAAAAAAGTAACAAAATTAAAATTAAATAAACAAAATTAAAAAAAAACAAATTCAAATACAAGAACAAAAAGTACACATGCAAAAGAGAAGAAGCACTGTAAATATAACAAAAGCGGATGAAGTACCTTAAATGTTGAAGGATATTTGTTATTTTTTTGTTCCTTAACAGATTTACCAGAGTTCTTCGCTTGTACATTGACGGAAACCTTCGCTTTTTTGCGAGGCTTTGGAGCATTTTGGTTTCTTCTCTTCTTAGGAGCCAAGTTCGGACTTCTAGAACGAACAGGGGAAGCAGAAGCACTGTGACGATCTGAAGTTCTTCCATCGATATTCAGCCGAGAAGATCTCGTAACACGAGGAGTATTTGCAGTAGACATTATCGTGAAGATGACGAAAGAGAAAAGATGAGTTCGAGAAGAAGAAAAGAGGAAGCGGGAAGAAAGAGGAGACTCGCGGTGGAAGGAAATTGGTATAGGTGGAGAACGTTGGCAGGTAACCGTCTAAAATTGAAATAAAAAACCAAAAGTGAAAATATAAAAGTTAAATATGAAAAGAAAAGGTAGTACGGACATTATTGATAGAGGTTTATAGAGAATGGTCCTCCCAGGTAATTTCCACTTTGATTTATAATATGAGGTCTATTTGCTATAGGTAATGATGATGTGTTTAGGGAAAACAAAAGACTATTTAATTATGTAATTTAAGTAGATAATGCACGTGAGATGCAATATTTGTGATGAGATAGTTATCTACTTAGCAGCATTGTTTACGCAAATGAATTGGACATTCCCTAAATGTTAGAACTATTCGTCTATTCATCATTAACATTTCTTAAATATCAGAACACTCCGTAAATGTTAGATTTTGAGGGGAAAATCTAAAATTGTGAATTTTAATGATTGGACTTGATAGCAATTAAATTATAAGTTAATTTCAATTTACACTACTCTACTTTATTAGTACCAAAGTAGATATTTAATTTAATGGTTGTGAGCTCTAGAGCGCCGCCTCCAAGGGTTTGCCTAGGGGCATTTGTCTGGCCACGATCGTTCAGTCGTGGTGCGAGTTTGGATTTTTCTTCTGTTAGTTGTTGATCTCGGCATAGCAGATCGTGTTTTTGTTTCTTCTTTGGGATTGGGGTCATCGACCTAATCGTTTTGGGATCTGTCTTGGTTGATTCGAGCAAGGCATTCGTTGATTGCTTTAATTGTGTCCGAGGTGTTCGGTCTCGACAATGAGCAGGGCTGGAGTTTCTGGCAGAAGGTTAGAGCAACATCTTTGCATGGATAGCTTCGTGGAAAAATATAAGAGGATGGCGAATGGGGCAAAGGAAGAAGAACTGAATCTAGATGAAGCTGATGTTGAGGTTATGGTGGATGAGCGACGGACGCGTCCCCCTCCCGAGCCACCGCCATGGAAGGCAAGAAAATCTAGGGTTATGAAGAAGATTTATTTTATTTGTCTCGTTTGTTTTTCCAGTAATTTTTATGCCCATTGTGTTATTTGTTTTTTCTTTATTGTTCCTGTTTGTAAGACGTTGATTTTGGATATGGGGATTGAGAGGAATAGGGTGACCGTTTCTGGCTGTTTGTTTCCCAATTATGGATCATCGAATTTTATTGCTGCGGCGATTAATTCCGAGTCTGGTTCGAGGGATAACGGTTGTCAGATTTCTTTCTGTCTTTTGACCCATACTCTGAAAATTATTGGTTATTAATAAAGCCGAATTCATTCAAAAAAAAATTAATGGTTGTAAATAGCAATTTATGGCTATGAATAGTATTTCCCCTTTTTAAATAATACTTTCTCTGTCCCGCTAATATTGTCACATATTTTCTTTTTCGTCCATCTCACTAAGATTGTCTCATACCAAATTTGGTAAAGTTTGTGTTGCTCTAAATCATTCTTACTTTATTCTTATTTTATCAATTAATTATCGATCATAAACCTACTTTTCTTACTAACGGCATCACCTCCTTATGTCCCCATGTTAGTGGGAAGGAGGTCGTCCTAATTATCACCTATACACCAAAAACAATACATACTTTGAAAATAACATTCGATAATACCAACTATTTGACTTAATAATACAACTGATACAAAGCTATTTCATACTAGAAATCTAGTCCTAATTATCACCTATACACCAAAAACAATACATACTTTGAAAAGAATATTCAATAATACCAACTATTTGACTTAATAATTCATCAAAACTAGTATCAAAATATCAAGTAAGTTGTCTCAGTTACCAAAAGTCATGTTCATTGTTGCACTAAGTAGGCTTGGTACAGGTAACTTAGGGAGGTATTATGCGATAGAAATTTTGATATATTTCCATTCACTTATGAAGGCACGACAAAGAGAGCAAGTAAAAAAAGGACAGCTGGGACTAGTGGTGGACTCGGTTCGGGCCGCCCGACCCGTGAACCGGCCCGGCCCGCTACTGTGCGGGCCCGAACCAGTCCTTCGGTCCCAGTACCGAGTATTGACCCGAACCGGTTGGTTCAACGGGGGCGGGCTCGGGTTTAGGGAATGGTGACCCGGCCCGGCCTGGTTCGGGCCTAACGGTCAGATTTTTATTTTTATTTGAAAACTAGCCAAACACCTCCCTAACCATTGGGCAAGGCTCCCAAACGGCTATATAGCCGTTGGGTGTGGGGAAGGGGGGTCCCAGGCTTTTGGGGGGTGGGTGGGGGGTGGGGGTAAAAAAAACTATAAATGCATATTAATTATCTACCTATAAATACATATATTATATTATTTATATTTTTTTATTGATGGAATATAATTCCAACGAAAAGAGCTTAATCAATCAAATATTCATTGATCGTGAGAAAGTAATAAGAGTATTATTCATCTCGAGAGAGACCCCTTTTACAAGATATGTACATGAGTATTTATAGGTTTTAGGAGTTGATATTTTAGGAGGAATCTAATACAATAAATGCTAATTAATGAACTATATTCTTGCTCGGAATAGAACTCCTCTCATGCCTTGGTCGTTAAGCATTAGTTGTCTCCTTCTTGTTTCCAAACTCCGGACGAGTCCTGCTTGCTACGTAAACCTTAGGAATATCCCGGCCTCACTAGAACTCTGCCAAAGCTCGAGGCCTGCTTGCCCAGCCTCGAGGTCGGCTCCGGGCTCGAGATCTGCTCCGGGCTCGAGGCCTGCTCCGGGCTCGAGGTCTGCTGTCCAGCCCGACCTGGCTATGGGTTCCTGTCGTGGGCCTGATTCCCAATTAGGCTCAGCGGATTATTATCTTTGATCCCGATTGATGGGCTGACCCCGTTTATGGGCTGATCCCGTTTATGGGCTGATCCCGCTGATGGGCTAATCCTGTTAATTAGGCTAATCCCGTAGAGGGCTGATCCCGTTATGGGCTGGGTTATGTAACTGGGCCATGGTCAGAGTCCATGGTACCATCACGAGCCCCCTACTCCTTAAAATCAGCAGGGCTGGATTTTAGAGGAGTAATTTGATTCCTTTCTCATTCTTGAAATTCTTCATTCTTTGAGGTGGGCGTGGTGACATTGAGAGAAGTAGAGTAGTGATTGCCTTGTAATAACTCCTCCAGGGGTCGAGGGGCGTCACCTTTTGTTCATATGGGGAGATGCCTCGTTAAAAACCTCACTAGGAAAAAACCCATTGGGAAAAAATCCTAGCGAGGGAAAAAGAGTACACTGGATGCCCCCAAAATGAAGCAAAAGGGTGGACCCATCGGCCGATGTATTTAGCTGCAATGACCGCCTGATACTTCTGATGTGTTCTGTCTGCGGCACCATCTTCATGCCAGCTTTGTCTGCTTCTTCGGTGTTGATTACCTGATCTGCCTGATATGCTTAGGCACATTTGAGGCAGTCCAGTCCTGATTTAGGCTGGCTTCTTCCTTTGGGAATTTCTGATTTCTTTGGGAAACTGACCTCTTGAACTTGGACCGGTATGATCTGGGAGCTCTGGGTTGACCTCCAGGTCTGACCACGTTTGCTAGACCAACCAGTTTATTTTCAATCACTTTTGTCCTTATAGTCTCGGCCCTGATTTTCCGGTCAAGGTCGCTTTCCTTGGGTTCTTAATTTCTGAACCGATGTCGGAGAGCTTTACCAATTTTAACCCTAAGTTCTTATTTTCCGAACCGAAATAGGGTGGGTTCTTCACCTTAGGTCAGTTAAGCCTTGTGATGAACCTCTTTAATTGGCAAGGCTTGGTGGCCTCTCCAGTGCAAAGTTAACTCCCTTAGTTCATCCTTTAGCCTTTGTAAATCAGGCTTGGCCTTGAGAAAGGCCATCTTTTCCTGTTTGAGGAAATTTGATTTTGTTTATAAGGCTGTTTGATATTGAAAAAGATCTTGTATTCCTGCTCTCGTCTTTTGATAAGACAAAGTTGAGCTTCAGAATTTGGATGAGTCTGGAATTTGTACTTTGGCTTTTTGCGAGTACCGATTTGGCTGGTTAAGAAACCTTCGCAATTTTATAAGGACTTTCGTGAAAGAAAACAAATTGTATTAGAATGAAACAGAACTACATACTTACTGGTAGAATTTCATCAAGTGTTCGGGATTCCACGCATTGATGAGCTCGTCCACCCAAGTTGTTCCCACTTAGTAAAGTAATCAATGGCGACTATAACAAACTTCCGACCTCCTGAGCCTGGAGGGAACGGCTCGACGAGATCTATTCCCCACATGGAGAAGGGAATCACAGTGCTGATGGGATGGTAAAGCGTAGCAGGCCTGCCAGGATTTGTTTAGAACTTCTGGCAGGTCTCACACTTGGTGTGAGGAGCAAGTCCTTTCGTGCAACTCCTTGATCACTTGCTGAGCTTGTTCTTGCCTTAAGCATTTGAGTAACACGCCATTGTAGCTTCTTTTGTAAAGTTTGTCATTCTCAATGACATAGTTCGGAGCCTATCTTTTGATTAGCCTTGCTCTCTCTTCGTTTGAAGGCAGTGTTCCAATCTCCTTGTACTCTTTTAGTTCTTCCCGCCAGGATTTTTGAGCCTGTCCGATAGGGAAGACCTCGAGATCTTTTGTGACTTCGATGCTAGGCTTATTCAGCCCTTATATCCGAGCTATGCGCATGAGATGTTCAGGTGCATCTGTTGTCAATTTCGATAAGATATCTGCCTCAATGTTTTGGGCTTGTGGAACACACATCAAATCTGACTTCGCGAACTGTGTAATAAGTTACAGGGTTGTATCCCTGTATTTCTGCATTCGTTCTTATTTGGCTCCGTATTCCCCTCTAAGTTGTTTGATTACCAACTTAGAGTCACTTTTGATCATCAGTTTCTGGATCTTGAAGTGAATTGCCATCCTGAGGCCTGACAGTAGGGCCTCGTACTCAGCTTCGTTATTGGATAAGCTGAACTTATATCTGAGTGCATGATAAGTCTTGAAGCCTTCAGGGGTGATGAGGGCCACCCCTTCTCCGCAACCCTTAAACCTTGATATTGGCTGATTAGCAGGGACCACTTCACAACTCTCACGGTCTTGACCGTTCTGAACAAAGTTCCAACTCCCAGGTCTGACGGCACATTGATGGGATTGATGAGCCTGGAAGTAATATGTCAGTTTCTTGGCCGCTACATATACTGCAAGGGCGGGGCGGTCTTCTCCAGGGCTGGATATTTGAGCTCAGCCTCGTGGAGGATCTTGCTGATGTGGCAGACCAGCCTCTGCGTGGTTTCCTCCTTGCGCACTAATACGGAGCTGACTGCACTTTGAGTGACCCCTAAATAGAGAATGAGGGTTTTGCCAGCCTCATGTTTGCTAAGCAATAGATTTGATTGTAGATATTTCTTGAGATGTTCACATGCAGCTTGGCACTCTAGAGTCCATTGGAACCCGTTGCTCTTCTTCAGGATTTGGAAAATGGTAGGGCCTTGTTCGCCGATCTGGACACAATCTCTCCCGGGCTGTTAGCCTTCCAGTCAGAATATGGACTTCTTTGACGCTTCTGGGGGTTCCATATCCTGGAGTCCTGCACCGATTTTAACCCGAACTTCAGGTTGGGACGGATCAACTCCAACCTCCTCGAGCTCTGAAGCAGGCTGAGCTTTGAACTGCCCTCAAACTTCGACAAGTCCTGCTCGATGGCATTCATACTGACTTCATTCCTTCTATGAGCTTTACAAGCTCTCACGTAGCAACTTCTAGCCCTTTTTTTATCCCCTCTTACAGTACCTATCCCGGCAGGCGTGTAAAACTTGAACGAAAGTATGCAGTATATGACATTTAGACCGCGAGCTTATAAATAACACTCGTCTAATGTGATCTGGTAGTGCGAGTGTTAGTACTCTTTTTTTTTTGCTTTTGAGTGTTAGTACTCGGTCAGGCGTATTTGAGTGTTCATAAGTCCGTTCTTCAATGTCAAAAAATGCACATCAATCAATAATAAAAAATAATAATGACATAGCTTAACTCGTTGCTCGGGCTGTGTAGTTTGAATTTGATATTCGGGATGACTAGCCCCCGAGATCAAAGTGATACTATAATAATTATATTTTTTATCATGATTTTGATAATTTTGTAATGTCTTTTGACCAAATTTGATCTTGGAATATAATCGTAACGTATGATAATTAAAGCTACAACTAGAATACTTAGCTTTTGATATGGGTGATCATGTCTGGCCGTGGATTGATTGAATGGATTACAACCCAATAAGCTGCTCATGGAATTTCACAGCACTTGGAAAAAGACTGCTGCTATCGAAGGCTTGGGAGACATGTGGAATCTCGTCGCTGTCGTTGCAGGAGAGATAGGATCAAATTCATTCGGATTCTATGATTTCCGGCAGCGTGTGCTTTAGCCTTAAGGCCCCGACCATGTTTCTTCACCTTCGGCTTGTCCACAGGAGCGTCACTTCCGGTCGGGCGATGTTGCAGCAGATTTTTGCTGCTGCTGTGCGAGATCGATTTCTTCCACTGTAGACATCTTCTCACCGATCCAACTGTTCAGATTGGAGTCCCAGAAGTCACGAACATGCTGCAAAAATTTCAGCCCGATCCAATAGTGAACGAAGTCGCAGCGATGAAAAACGTGTTGCAGCAGTAGGGTTCTACGAATTTTGTTGGGTATTTTTGTGATGTGATGAATTTCGTATGTTTTGGGAGGATCTAACTTGATTGTTGATCAAGCTCTCAACAGGAGCACTGATGGAATATAATTCCAGCGAAAAGAGCTTAATCAATCAAATATTCATTGATCGTGAGAAAGTAATAAGAGTATTATTCATCTCGAGAGAGACCCCTTTTACAAGATATGTACATGAGTATTTATAGGCTTTAGGAGTTGATATTTTAGGAGGAATCTAATACAATAAATGCTAATTAATGAACTATATTCTTGCTCGAAATAGAACTCCTCTCATGCCTTGGTCGTTAAGCATTAGTTGTCTCCTTCTTGTTTCCAAACTCCGGACGAGTCCTGCCTGCTACGTAAACCTTAGGAATATCCCGGCCTCACTAGAACTCCGCCAAGGCTCGAGGCCTGCTTGCCCAGCCTCAAGGTCGGCTCCGGGCTCGAGGTCTGCTCCAGGCTCGAGGCCTGCACCGGGCTCGAGGTCTGCTGTCCAGCCCGGCCTGGCTGTGGGTTCCTGTCGTGGGCCTGATTCCCAATTAGGCTCAGCGGCTTATTATCTTTGATCCCGATTGATGGGTTGATCCCGTTTATGGGCTGATCCCGTTTATGGACTGATCCCGCTGATGGGCTAATCCTGTTAATTAGGCTAATCCCGTAGAGGACTGATCCCGTTATGGGCTGGATTATGTAATTGGGCAATGGTCAGAGTCCATGGTACCATCATTTATCTACTTAATCTCTACTTATTATCTACTTATATATTAATTATCTACTTATAAATACATATATTATATTACTTATATCTATTATCTACTTAATCTCTACTTATTATCTACTTAATATATACTTAATACATACTGTTGAGTTTAATCCAACACGATATAGTAAATATATGTATAAATGTGTATGAACAAGCTCAGTTTTTACGTGGAAACCCGAAAGGGAGAAAACCACGGGACTTTTTAGGCTAATGTCCAAGCCCTCTCAATTCTCATTAGACTCTCCTCACCATTACATAGTACAAGTATTGAAGCTCCCATTAATGGAGTTCTAAGCTATTCTAGTGAGAAGGAGGAAGAAGAAAAGGATCAGGATCCTTTACATGGAGGGAAAACCTCCTATAAATAGGGAAAGGGGTGAGGGAAGTACTCCACCCTAATGGGCCAAACGGGCCGAAATGGGCCCAAAGGCCGAAACAGGCCTGATAGGCTAAAATGGGCCTTACTGATTGGGCTCCGTACTACGTAAAGTCTTGGGCTCCTGAACAGTAATAGGCCGGGATAATATATCCCAACACAAGTCCCCCAGTTTCTTGAGTAGTGAGCGTGCGAATCTGCTCGAGAAAATATACTCTTGCCTACGCTTTACCTCGATCTAGCTGGAACCTGTGTCTTCGAATAATCATAATATATGAGTGGATGTCCACACTCCTGAACGTAATCTGCCGGTGAGGCACCTCCGTTCCCGACGGGGTCGGGCGAAGGGTGCTCCTCCACGGGCACGCTCCCCCTGAATGCATCAGGCGAGAGTAAAGGACTCTGACTCGAGCTTTCCAACGGAGAAGCTTAGAGGTCCATGCATATATAAACCGACGTCGCGGTACTGTCAAAACATGATGCACGTGTGTATGTATGAATGTATGAGGTATGATGCATGAATGCGTGTAATGTATGGGTGCAATGTATGGGTGCAATGTATGAGAGAGGGAATGCAAGATGTGATAGGAGCGGTAGCTCTCAACGATAACCCGGGCATGTCAGCGCCGAGAGGCAGACGTGCTGCATAAAAGACGTTCGTCGCCATCCTGAAAGGGATGGGCGACCCTAACGTGAGCCAGACACGATGGCGCTGGGGCGCTGATCGTGCTGCATAAGAGACGTTCGTCGCCATCCTGAAAGGGATGGGCGACCCTAACGTGAGCCAGACACGATGGCGCTGGGGCGCTGATCGTGCTGCATAAGAGACGTTCGTCACCATCCTGGAAGGGATGGGCGACCCTAACGTGAGCCAGACACGATGGCGCTGGGGCGCTGATCGTGCTGCATAAGAGACGTTCGTCGCCATCCTGGAAGGGATGGGCGACCCTAACGTGAGCCAGACACGATGGCGCTGGGGCGCTGATCGTGCTGCATAAGAGACGTTCGTCGCCATCCTGGAAGGGATGGGCGACCCTAACGTGAGCCAGACACGATGGCGCTGGGGCGCTGATCGTGCTGCATAAGAGACGTTCGTCGCCATCCTGGAAGGGATGGGCGACCCTAACGTGAGCCAGACACGATGGCGCTGGGGCGCTGATCGTGCTGCATAAGAGACGTTCGTCGCCATCTTGGAAGGGATGGGCGACCCTAACGTGAGCCAGACACGATGGCGTTGGGGCGCTGATCGTGCTGCATAAGAGACGTTCGTCGCCATCCTGGAAGGGATGGGTGACCCTAACGTGAGCCAGACACGATGGCGCTGGGGCGCTGATCGTGCTGCATAAGAGACGTTCGTCGCCATCCTGGAAGGGATGGGCGACCCTAACGTGAGCCAGACACGATGGCGCTGGGGCGCTGATCGTGCTGCATAAGAGACGTTCGTCGCCATCCTGGAAGGGATGGGCGACCCTAACGTGAGCCAGACACGATGGCGCTGGGGCGCTGATCGTGCTGCATAAGAGACGTTCGTCGCCATCTTGGAAGGGATGGGCGACCCTAACGTGAGCCAGACACGATGGAGCTGGGGCGCTGATCGTGCTGCATAAGACGTTCGTCACCATCCTGGAGGGAATGGGGCGATCCGAACGTGAAAGAGGCACGATGGCGCTGAGAAGCCGATCGTGATGCATAAGACGTTCGTCACCACCCTGGAAGGGAATGGCGAGCCGAACGTGAAAAAGACACGATGGCGCTGAGAAGCCGATCGTGCTGCATAAGACGGTCGTCGCCATCCTGGAGGGTATGGGCGAGCCGAACCGTGAAGCCAGGTACGATGGCGCTGAGGGGCCGATCGCACTGCATAAGACGTTCGTCGCCATCCTGGAGGGAATGGGGCGATCCGAACGTGAAAGAGGCACGATGGCGCTGAGAAGCCGATCGTGATGCATAAGACGTTCGTCGCCATCCTGGAAGGGAATGGCGAGCCGAACGTGAAAGAGACACGATGGCGCTGAGAAGCCGATCGTGCTGCATAAGACGGTCGTCGCCATCCTGGAGGGTATGGGCGAGCCGAACCGTGAAGCTAGGTACGATGGCGCTGAGGGGCCGATCGCACTGCATAAGACGTTCGTCGCCATCCTGGAGGGAATGGGGCGATCCGAACGTGAAAGAGGCACGATGGCGCTGAGAAGCCGATCGTGATGCATAAGACGTTCGTCGCCATCCTGGAAGGGAATGGGCGAGCCGAACCGTGAAGCCAGGTACGATGGCGCCGAGGGGCCGATCGCACTGCATAAGACGTTCGTCGCCATCCTGGAGGGAATGGGGCGATCCGAACGTGAAAGAGGCACGATGGCGCTGAGAAGCCGATCGTGATGCATAAAACGTTCGTCGCCACCCTGGAAGGGAATGGCGAGCCGAACGTGAAAGAGACACGATGGCGCTGAGAAGCCGATCGTGCTGCATAAGACGGTCGTCGCCATCCTGGAGGGTATGGGCGAGCCGAACCGTGAAGCTAGGTACGATGGCGCTGAGGGGCCGATCGCACTGCATAAGACGTTCGTCGCCATCCTGGAGGGAATGGGGCGATCCGAACGTGAAAGAGGCACGATGGCGCTGAGAAGCCGATCGTGATGCATAAGACGTTCGTCGCCACCCTGGAAGGGAATGGGCGAGCCGAACCGTGAAAGAGACACGATGGCGCTGAGAAGCCGATCGTGATGCATAAGACGTTCGTCGCCACCCTGGAAGGGATGGACGAGCTGAACGTGAGCTGGGTACGATGGCGCTGAGAAGCCGATCGTGATGCATAAAAATAGTGATAATCGTGAGTGGTAATCGTCTCGCGGCCCTCGGCCGTGCTGGTGATGTGTCAAGTCTCTATCCTGATTGGCTGTGAGAAGCCGATCGTCTGCCAGGACTCCATCCAGGAAGGAATGGTGAGCCTGAAAAAAATCTGGGTGATGTCCCTCCGTCTGATCTGGGGAGCTGGTATTCGTCGTCCAAGGCAAAAGAAAGCCTGATGTTAGCCGATCGTCGTCGGCCACTTCATTCTTCGTACTTAAGTTTTGTATTTATTCTTTATATATGTTTTTCAGTTTGTACTTCCCGGCCAATAGCGCCGAGGGATAAAATCATTCTTTGCTCCGTGCTCTTCTGGCATCTTTTTTTTTTTTTTTCGGAGTCTTTTAGTCTTCGTTCGTCCTTGGTCCTTGGTCCTTCGGTATCCGCAGACATCGCAAGGAGGATCAGGTTTATCTACATCGAGATTCCCCCTTTTTTCGTTCGTTCGTGGTCCTTTTAGTCTTACCGGCGTCTCTTGCTTCGAAGAAGACGTTCGGTACCCAAGGAACTCGCAGGGACGAACAGGTTTACCCTCACGGGTTCCCGACTTTGTTATCCCACGTCCATCGATCCATGGTCATTTGTGGGATAAACAGGTTTATCTTGGCAGGCTCCCTTGGTTCGTCTAGCCCCCTCCGCGTCTCTACTAACCTCTACATCGAGAGGCGTTCGTCTTCGGCGGTGGGGGAAGATCTGGCACGCCCGGGCAAGATTCCCTTCCGCATAGGAGCTACCCTCCTCTTCTCCCCATCTTTTTTTTTTTGAGGGAGGCAATCTATATTCTTCGTTCGTCATTGGTCCTTGGTCCTACCGGCGTTCCTACTTCGAGGAGACGTTCGGTATCCGCAGACATCACAATGAGGAACAGGTTTATCTACATCGAGATTCCCCCTTTCTTCGTTCGTCCGTGGTCCTTTTAGTCTTACCGGCGTCTCTTGCTTCGAAGAAGACGTTCGGTACCCAAGGAACTCGCAGGGACGAACAGGTTGTCACACATAATGGTGGTGCGATAGCGAACGAATATAATGACGAGGCGATAGAATAGCTGGTCGTCATGCGAAGGCGATGGTCACCCTCCTGGAGGGGAGTCGTGAGCCCGATCGCAAACTCAAG